GGGGCAGAAGCAACTCAGGAGATCCCACCACTGCTGCTAGCTACAAGCTGGGGGTGTACATGGGGTGGGAGACTCTTAAACCAGCCTTTTCTCATGCTCCTTAGCACTTGGCCAACATCTGAGAGGGGTAAGGGGCTACCAGCATCATTGTTCGCTCTCAGGATGCATTCCAGGACCAACCCTGGCTGGCTGGTCCTCCGAGCCCATGAAGCACCCCAACAAGAGGAGGTGGTGATGGGGACCCCCAGCCTGGGAGGAGCAGCAAGGACCCCCGTGCCCCTCTTACCACACTGACGCCTCCAGAGTTATCTGCGCTGCACATCCCCTCCAGCGGGGCCATGCCGATAGTTGTCCCCCTGAACGTCTTCCCTCTGCTCAGAAAGGAAAACGGAGGAGCAGTTAGGACACCAGGGGTGGTTTGCAGACCTCAATCCAAGCTGGGACCCCCCCTGCCCCAACATCTCCAGGTCCATCGGGGTGCTCACGTCAGCAGCTGGGCATTGTCATGCTTCTTGCGTGACCTCAGCGCCTTCTTCCACTGCAGGAAGGACCAGAGCGTGGCGTTGGCATCGCTGGTGACGGTGCACTGGTCCCGCTCCGTCCACACCTCCAAGCCGATCAGGGCCACCTTGATGTTGAGCGACCTGTAAAACTGCAGGAAGGGAACAGGGATGGAGGGAACAGGCATTTGCTGCACATACTCCATCTCCACCACGGCATCTCATCTGGTTGCGTCTCCATGCCTTCCCTCCAGCGGGGTGACTCAGGGACACACTTATCCCAAATCCACCTGCAAGGATGAGCTCTACAGGCACCAGCATGGGCACGGGAGCCAGGCAGGGTGGCACAATGCCATCCATCTGCTGCCAGCATTGATCCCCATTGCCACAGCAGAGCAAAAAGCCAGCACCTTTTTCGCTGCTGCAGCTCCATCAACAAGTGACAAAGCATTTCCCACCACGTGCTCACATCTGCCACCTAAACTGCTCACTGCAGTGACACAGGGACAGTCCTTGAGGACCACCATCAGGCTGGCCCTGACCTCAGCTGCTTTCACGTGCACCAGGAATGATGGAAGTGGTGACAAGAGACCAGCAGGTCCCTCTGGCCAGCTGTTACCTTGTCCACATAGTTGGCAATCTCCACGATGCGCTGCTTGGTGTGGCCCAGGTTGAGGTTCTGGTTCCTGTACTGCAGAGAGACAGGGATGGGGAAGGGTCACCAGAGGGAAAGGAGGGAGGGAAACAGAGAAAGGTCCTGGCTTTTCAGCAGGGGATCAGTTTTGTGCCTCCCACAGCACTCACCAGCGTGTGATCAGCAACGATGAAGAGCTCCATGTACTTCATGGTCCTCCAGGCATCTCTCTTCACCTGCAAAGCCAGACAGAAAAGTTCAGAGGAGCAAAGGAGCAGGCAGCCCCACGGCTCTGGGCATCTCAGGCTTCCCAGAGCGGCTCAGGAAGGACAGCTGCGAGGGGAAACTGAGGCACGAGGCGACAAGGAGAATTTGAGCAGCTACAGTGCAATTCCCAGCGTTACCTCACGGCACGTCCCACACCATACGGCACAGCACCGCTCCCCAACTCACACCTCCTCCCTTTGAGGTCTCCTGCCCAAACTCAGACCAGGAACACTGCCCACGCAGGCTCCTCACGTCCCACTTGCCTGCACAACCCCGCCCAGACGCCAGAGTGACAGGCACCCCGCCACAAGCTGCAGGCAGTCAGCAGGAGGGCAGACCACCCTGCTCCCAGGCCTCTGTCCCTCCCCAGCGAAGGACGCTGGGATGGATTTACCCGGCCATGAGCTGGCTGGAAGAACCCAGCGATGTCGGCGACGGTGCTCCCGATATCGTCGCCGTGGCCGCAGGTCCCACCTCGGATGGGCAAGTGCTCTGCGCGGTGGATGATGTGGTGGCCTGGCTCGGGGGTCCCCAGGGGTTGCAGGTAGTAGCTGGCGTTGCTGCTGAGCACTATCAGGCCCCTGGTAACGGAGAGCAGCCCCTGATGGCTCCCGTGGTGCTTCCGCCCCACTCCCCCAGCCCCTCCTGAGGCCCCACAAACTCACTGCACCTCAGCTTGGTCCATACCCAGCACAGGGCAGAGCCAAGAGATGGGGGTCTCTGTGAATACAGCCCTATGAGCTAATATGTCTTTGACATTCAACCCTCCGTGCCAGTCCGACCATGCGGACGCAGGACAGCAGCTAGCAGACGCGACGGGACGATGCTCGGTTCTGGGGTACCCGCTGTGAGGTGCGGGGTCTCGCCTCCTCCAGAGACAAATTTCCTTGAAGGCAGTTCATGCTGCCAGAAAAATGGCCTCTGCCCTGTCACCGCCACCCACTCCCAGGGTTGGGTGAAGGATGGGAGAATGGGAGCAACGGAAAATCAGCCCGAAGCATCTAGAGCTGGGCTTGGAGGACCATCGGTGCTGCTCCAGGGGGTCCCCACAGACAGGAAGCATGTAGATGGATCCATCCCTCTTCTTCATCAGCCCTACAAGCCCCATGGCCCCACACGTCTCCGTACCGTATTCCCGAGCAGGTGCTGAGGACAACCCAGGAGCCGCCATAGCTCTGGACGTGCCCGTGGTAGTAGCAGTGGTCCTGCAAGAGAAGCAATGGAGACCCTCTGTTAGTGTTGGGCAGCAACAAACCCCACGTGCTCATCCCATAAAAAACCCACCCGTTCGTGTCCCTCTGCGCAGGGAAACAGGAAGGATGGAGCCAGGAGGCTGCTGGCTCCAACGGTTCAGCCCAGGACACAGCCAGCCCTGCACCACCACATTCCTCCCACAGACCAGCACCGGGGACGCCACCAGCCAAAACGCTGTCCCGGTGGGGCTTTGGCTTCATCCCAAGTGCCAAAGTGCCCCGAAAAAAGACAGGAGACGAGCTCTGCCCATCCCCCGGCACCCACCGTGTGGTTGGGAGTCAAGGTCATGGGCTGCCCATCCGCGGCGTAGTGCGTCTCAGTGTAGCCCGGTGCCAGCAGCCTGCAGTGGGAGGAGAGGGGGAGAGGGGTGAGACCCTGGGGCTGGTCTGGGTGTCCTGTAGGGCGCAGGGGCTGAGTCATCCACACGGTTCCCCTTCACAGCCTCCCCGTGCA